TGAGCCGAGCACGGCGCAACTAGAAAGGTAACTCTGCTGGCGGATCGTCTTTTCCTCGAAGCGACACCTGAGCAAGTGGACACCTGAGCAAGTGGATCAAATTTGTTTCTCCGTGGTCGTAGCGCCGCGGCGCAGTGTTCTTTTGCTTTTTCTTTTTCTTCGTCTTCTTCTTCTTCTTTTTCTTTTTCTCTCTCCTGTTTCCTGCCAGGGGGGTGAAGGGGTGTTCGGGCGTGCATTGACTAAACGAGCCTGGATAATACCTAAAAAGGCTGGAGGAAGGAACAAACGAAAAGGCAAAGAAAAGAAAAACAAGAAAAGGTGCAGGGGGTGAAGGGTGGGGTAAATGCTCTCATGAGCGAAGTGAAGCCGAATCGGCGCAGTGAAAAAATTAAAAGTTGGAAAAGACTTCTCCGGTGTGAAACTGATTCAGTTGAACTCTGCAGTATATTTCAGTGAAAAATTCAGTGAACTCTGCAGTAACATTTCACGTGTGCCAGGTGAGACATTCCAATCAAGCTGATTTCAAACAGGAAAATTCAGTCGAGTAAACTTCAGAAAATCTTCAGGAAGACTTACTCCTGCTTCTTGCAGTAACGGCGCCCCGTAGGGATCACACAGCTTACCACAGTGGGAAGAAGCTGCGAAGACACACTTGAGAAGGTTGCTCCGTGGAGCGCGATTTCAGGCTGCTTCGCGGTGTGCATTAGCACTTTAAGGGTAGTTACTGCATTAGCCGAATGCATTAGCACTTTACTGCAAAACAACGTATGAGACAGCGTTGAACTGACTTAGAAGCATCAACGAGTGAGAATTAAAATTGCAGGTACAAGATACTGCGTCCAGTATCTCTTCCAACCGAACACCATAGCTTTGTTAGCACGGCTAGGTGAACGGCCGCCGTGCCCCCTGCTACTGTACAAGGTCTGAAAAGTCATAGGAATAGAAATAGCTAGAGTAGTGTCCTTGGAAACAGGAGTGGACACACACACACACACGCCTCCCCAAGGGAGGCACACGGAGATACATCCAGTTGATCACCCCCTGCTGTAAAAATAAAGTTGAGTGCTTCCCTAAATCCAGGCTGGTCAATGCAGAATCGCTTTTAGTAAGCCACAGGCAGTGGCTTCCCTTTGACTTGTTCTGTCAAGCTCCCTCAAGCAAATGATTTGCCCGTTCCCCACTCCGCCCGGCGGGTTCCGCTCTCTCTCTCGCGCGGCAGGCGCAGCGGCGCACAAAGGGTGATGAGAAAGAGAAGGAACGAGACGATGGTGTTCCCAGCTATGACTCAACCATCCAAGGACACAGCCGAGAAGCTAAGAAGAGAGAGAGAGAGAGAGGCGCTCCCAGCTACGAAGCAAGCGTCCAGGGACGTGACACACCATGGAGAGGGGTGTACCTGGGCGTTAGCTGCGCCCCTGCGGAGAAAAGACACAAGTTGAGCGGTCAATGTAGAGTCGCACCAAAATGTTGTGGCGTGAAGGAATTCTGGTTTAGTAAGCCACAGGCAGTGACTTCCCTTCGACTCGTTCTGTAAAGCTCCCTCAACCCCATCTCTTCGTTCAAACTCCGCCAAGTGCGCCTGCATGGATCTAAGGAGCTGGATCTTTGTGACAGGGTTCTCCCAAGCACAATCTTCTGTAGTGAGGCCGTCAGGCATGAGCCACCGCACCGACTCTTAGGCGCCTCCTCCTCATCCCCACCACAAGACGTGCTTCTGCTGTGCTTTGAGAGACCCCTGCACTCGAAGATGCTCCAGACGGTGTCTCAATCGTGCAGCTATCATTGCTCACCTCCATGCAGGACAGGCACCACTCCGACCGGCGGGTTCCGCACTCTCTCTCGCGAAGGGTGATGAGAAAGAGAAGGAACGAGACGATGGTGTTCCCAGATACACCCGACAGGACAAGAAGGGAGAGAGGGAGGTGAGCGCAGGGTGACGCCGAAGAGTGGCCCGTCGCCGCTTTGAGCTTTAAGTTTTTGATTTTGGAGGCTTCAAGAATCTGGAGACTTTGATCTTTGGAGACTTTAGAACTTTGTACTCACCCTGGTTTGTTAGTTTTTTCACTTAGGCCGGCGTGTGGTAAACCGCATCAGCGTCCGTACACAAAATATCAAGTGTGTCTGACCTCAGAGTCAGCCCAGGGTCAGCCCGAAGAGTGCCTTGTGTGGACCCATCGAACGGGGGTTTGTCGATCGTATCCCCTGCCCGGATACAGAGCAGCTCGCAGCGAGCGTAGGTGGCTTACGCCAAAGTTACTTGCCAAGACCTGACGGATTATTGAATTCCAAGTAGACAGTCTTCGGACAAGCCATTAGGTGACCACAGCGGTCAGAGCAGCCAGCCATTTTGGCACAGCGTAATTGGCCCCAGCGGCCGAAGCTACGGGCCCTTGATCCTCTTTCCTCCCCATTCCCTCTCCCCTCTTCCTTTTTTGCTGCTATTTTTTGGGGGGGGTGTTCCTGGATGCAAGACTCAGGTACCCCGCTCCCTTGGTGTGTCCCTGGACGCTTGTTTCGTAGCTGGGAGGGTCCTTATCTTGTCGGGTGTGTCCTTGGACGCTTGAGTCAGCTGGGAACACCATTGTCTCGTTCCTTTTCTTGTTTGGTGTGTCCTTGGACGCTTGAGTCGTAGCTGGGAACTCTCTCATCTTTCCGTGTTTTTCTTACCGCCGGAGAAGGTCCCCTGGAACCTGCTGGAGCCTCAGATTGACGATTCCGCCTCCTCCCCTTACTCCACCATGCCGCGCTCCTTGGTACACCCCTCTCCACGGTGTGTCCCTGGACGCTTGCTTCGTAGCTGGGAAAATGAATACTGATGTGAAAGCGGTTGCCACACGCCAACCTGGCTACCCAATTCCTGAAAAGGTTACGTAAACCTACGGAGCCGGGAGGTCTTCAAGAGGAAGCAGGGCCAAAAGCTCAATGCGTGACTGCAGAAAAGGCTTAAAATTGAAAGGCAGGTCGTCAGTGCTGGCCGGGCACTGATATCACATCCACTTGGTGCGGTCTTTGTTAGATGAGGCACACCAAGGGGTCCTCATCCCCCTGCTATAAAAATCAAGTTGAGTGCTTCCCTAAATCCAGGCTGTAAAAGGTCGATGCAGAATCGCGTTTTGGTCAGCCACAGGCAGTGACTTCCTTTGACTCGTTCGGTCAAGCTCCCTCAAGCAAATGATTTGCCGTTTCCCCACTCCGACCGGCGGGTTCCGCTCTCTCTCGCACAGCGGCCGTGGCGGCCCCCTGCTGAAACAATAAAAACGTAAAGAAATCTCTAATCCAAAAGGATCCCTGTGACTCCAAGGGGCAGACACACTCATGAATATGCGTACTGACTTGATTGCGGCGCCACACGCCGGCCTAAGAGACCCAAATCCTGAAAAACCAGGTGAAGGGGACCAGAGTTCCTGTAGTTAAAGGCCACGAACCGACGAGGCGACAGGTTGACGGCGTTCCGTGCATGTCTGCAGCTATTGAGGTCCTGGGCTTAGCCTCATGCCATTCAGTACAAGGAAAAAGCAGGTACGTGAGTCAGGCGTCCCTGACTCATATCACAGGAAATCCATGGTGTCTTCGTTGGATGCCGACCATGGAAATCCCCGGCATCCCCCTGCGATAAAACAAAAATGAATGCAAAAGCATCCCTATGACTCCAAGGGTTACACACACACACATACACATACAGGTATACGGTCGGCATTATACGTATACGTAAACATATACTCGAGAATGAAGGGCATCAACAAAAAAAAACATGATTGTCCATGTTTGTGCATGTTTGTGCTACCAAATGTCATAATGGGTTCGGGTCCTTTGATCTACACTCCACAAGGCTGACCAAGTGGGCTGGGAGCCTTGATTACATCCATCAAATGCTTCCCATTCGCTTGTCCACAGTCTGTGCCTAATTGCTTGCAAGAAGCTCAGTGTAGAAGAAGGCACGGACCTTGTCCAAATTGCCACCAGCAAGTATCCAATGGGTCAGTGCTGAAGACTCTGCCACCCAACCTCATAGTCTAAGTCTGCATAGATTCCACCTTGTTGGTGCATGACGCAGTAGCGGCCAATGTCTGAGCCTGGCAAAAGAGCCGTCCGTGAAACCTTGCAGAATGGCTGACAAATAAAACAAGAAATGTCACTCAAGGGGAGCTATCCGAGAACGGGCTAGTGTTAAATTGAGAGAAAGTGCATACTGGCAGCACGTTCGATGCCACCCGGGAGTGCCCTGAATGCTGGGAGATACTCTGGAAACTCCTGCAGTTTTTGATTGACACAGTCGGGCTTGCAAGTTCTTTGTCTCATCCAGTCCTGCTGCATGCATTCCTCGGGGTTGAGCACGAGAACACTTGCAGTGATAACCGGTATATGACAACTAATAGATTGATGGAACTTGATGGTAGCCTAAATATTTATATATCAAACTATATTCAATTGCAGCCGAAAGTCTGTGAGGTTGTGGTCGTGCCACACCTGGGAGCCGCAATCACCCGTCTGCCGTCATCCAACTTATATAATCGGTTGTTGAAAATCGCCAAGTCGGGAGATGAGGGATTACATTGTGCTGCATCGCACCGAAAAAAGGGAATGCTTGATGTTTGTTGGAATAGTGCTGCCACTCTAAATCTGGCTATGGGCTTCGGAGAGTTTGACTCAAACACTTGAGGTTCCGCAGCACCGAATATGCAGCGAATCCAGGAAGTGGAACAAATAGCATGAAGCCTTCTCTCTGTATAATATACAGTAGATCAGCTGTGTTGAAGATCTGGTTGCAAAGGGGCTCTAATCAGCTAGGTCTTTCAGGAAAGTGTTCCCGGTTTCCCGACCTTAGACCTTTGCTTTTACTCTCGTGGGCCTCATTTCATGAATACCTACTTGCTCGGAACCGGAGCCTTTCGCGGTGGAAGGAATGCACACGTTCACAAACATAAGTAAGCCACAAAGCTTTGGCGAACACTTTCACAACAACAAGCTGTATGCAACTTTTGTGAAGCTTTCTCAAGGCTTCGCGTGCTGGGTTTCCAGTTGATCGCCGTAACCTATATGAACCTCATCTAATTTCGCTCTGAGGGTTTTGGAACACACCTCACGTGGCCGGCATGTATGCGCATGCACAACAAAGGTATAGCCTGGGTCCTGCATTGCAAGAAGTTCTTCTGCACAAACACCCACACAGACATCATACAATCTAAACATTCTACCAGCATTGCAAGGCCGTCATATGCCGTCATCACCAGAAGCATATATATAATATACAAGGGCAAGGCTTCTAAAGGCAGCACCACACACTGGCGGTCTGGCCAACAAAATTGCCAATTTGACTCTATCAAAGGCATCATATTGTCGCACATGGCATAGGCAATCAAATGCTCACGGTGTCAATCAAAGCACACTTTATTTACTGAAGTGTTCTTCCAGTTGACTCAAGCTGTGAGCATGACGCGCAAACGAAAGCCTCTGCTGCGAAGAAAAAAGCGCTGCCAACTTCGCAGTGCGACTTCCTGAAAGCTCACAGCTGTAAGCATCATGGCCCGTGGTGGCCGCATACCCCGAAGCCCACGACAGCCCTTTGGGCCCTTGGACTCATCATTTCCAAAGTACTCTTGCAAAGCAAAGCTGGGTAGGTGACCCAAATCAGCACTGGAAACCTTGTGCGGTGAGAATTTCAGAAATGGGCAGGTGCAAAATGGTGCAAGGTACCAAGTCCCTCACGGTCCCACACCCGCCTTCTTCGGCTGATCTGGCCGTGTAAAGTGTCTCAGTGTCAAACGTGAGCTTGCAATCTTGACTGGACAAGTAGGCCAGAAAGCTTTGATGGCAAGTGTGCGAACAATCAAGATTTTTGTTTGAGGTCGGCTGTTGGGAGCATGGCACCACCCGAGGCAGCGAAGCGCTCCAGGATGGAACCTCTGCACTGGAGGCAAAGAAACAAAAAGAAAACACTGAGGAAGAAGAATAGAAGGATGCAATGGAACCTTGAACATCCTGGAAACAAAATGCAACACAATGCCAGCTGCTTCTATGACAAAACAGTTTGACTTGTTCTGGGGCCGCAGCGCTTGCCGTCAGGACCATGATGAAAGCGCGGCATTTTATTATGACAATCTTTAGTTTGTGATTCCTCATTGCCAGTAAAACTCAATAGGCGTGGCGTGTCAATCGCAAACGGAAATAGAACAACTAGCGCGGTGTCTTGTTCAGGGTCATGCGATGGTGGTCGGAAACAAACGCTACAGGAGCAGGCTGACATTCAGCATCATGCGGTAATACCAAAAGGTCATGAGAATTTCACTCAAAGCCTGGCTCAACAAGACCCCATTTGTCTCGCACATGTTCACAGCAATTCGCGGAAATAACACAATCTAACAGTTTCTTGGAAACTTCACGCGTCCGCATGCTATGCTCAGCTGGGCATCACCCAGCCATTTTGGAGGGCTCTTCTTGGTCCGCTTCCAAGGTTCCCTTTGGGCCTTCCATTTGCGGCAGCGGCTCCTGTACCCCCCCTTCACCATAGATGTACTCCTAGCGTGCAGCTGCGCCAAACTGTTGCAGCATTGAGCAGCACACCCAAACAAAACCTGCACAGCAGCTTCCAACTCCAGCAGCCTCAAACTCTTTGACCAAAGAATCCACGAGGTCTTGCTTCTGCTCACCTTCTGGTCGAAGTTCTTCTCGGATTCTCATTTGGATTCCTCTGGCGTCGCAAGAAGCGGAAGCAATTCCGATCTTATCAGAGAGCTCAATGATTTGCCAAAGTAGCAACCCTTGAAAGTTGGCAATCATTCAACACCCTTGCACATGTCTTCATATGCGTGCAAGCGGCTGCCATTCCAAAAGCTCCTCATCAGGTTCTAAATGAAAATCTTGATGAATATGTTTTTAAAAGCACAAAACACATTTGACAGATTTTGACCACCGCGTTCAAAGGCTTTAACCAGGTACATATAGCTGAGAACACACATCACCACATGCATCTAGGCTCGAACTGAGCGCACTAAAAGGAGCGTTACTTGTTTTCATGGTAGCGGAGCTCTGCCAGTAGCCCCGGCAACTCCGTACCCTTTTGGGGGATTTTTCCACGGGGGAGCACATGCCCCGTCAAAGACCCAGGCAGGTTAGTAAAGGGCCTTGACCATGGAGGGCATGGGAGCTGGAGATCAGGCCAATGCGGCCACAGGTGCAACAGCGGCTGCAGGAGCTGCAGGTGTGCAAGGCCTAGTTCAGGCCGTTGATCGAGGTGCAGAATCACAGTCAAAAGAGTTTTCCAAGTGGATGGACTGGCGGTTCCAATTCCCGACTTTTGTTGGTGGAGTTGAGCCAGGCATGTTGACCCTCATGAAACAGGCTGAACGTGAGGAAACTGCTATCAATGATGCTGGATCGAATGTGAGGCCTCAGTCTGAACGGTTGTATTCGTATATATTCGTTGCTGACAGGGTTGATGAAGCGGATGACTTGCTGCCTGTTGGAGTTGAGGAAGGAGGTTGAACGAAGGCAAGTTTTTTTAGGCAAGTCGTGGAAGGTCGAGAAGCGCGGAGAGGATGGAACATGCAGGGCCATTCCAATACCTCAAGAGGAACATGGAGATTGTCGAGAATGGTGCGACCATCCGCCCAGATCAGGAGCACATCAAGGAATTGGCCAAAGCGACAATTTCACGAAGTTGAAGAAGGATGATGAGGCAATGACAGGTGACTCAAAACAGAAGTGCAGTCACGAAGCTGTTGTAAATAGCACCCCACCGTCCAGACGTTCAGTTCGTGGCTCAGGGCTTGGCTTCATTGATGCAGAGACCAACCAAGAACAGCTCATTTCTCCTGGAAACAGTGCAAGAAGGTTTGTTGCTTGAGCATGGAACACCACAGAGGAATCCATGAGTGGAGTGAGAATGGCAGCAACCACCTGTTGGAGATTGTTTGTGATGCTGACTATGCTGGACAACCTGACACACGTCGATCAGTTAGCTTTGTTCACATTTACTTGAATGGTTGCTTGATGGAGAGCTACGTGAGGTGCCAACGATCCATCGCATTCTCATCAGGTGAGAGTGAGTATGTGGCAATGGTTGGAGGCTGCAGTGAATGGTTGTTCATCAAACACTGTTGGCAGTTCTTGACCGAGGACATTGATATGGTATGATATGGTATGCCGCGGTGACTCTTCAGCAGCCAGAGAAAGAATTGACTGGAATTCCTAGCAGCAGTCAACACGAGTGACATTGGCACAAAAATCCTCAGCTAAGGCCAGAAATGGCCAGAATGAAGGGCCTGAAGTTCCTGATCAAGATGATCGATGTGGACGACCAAAAGATTGGCTGCGAAGAGTATGAGGAGATCAAAGCCAAAGAGGACATGAACAAGAATGTGGGAAAAGTGTCACGGGCTTTCGGTGGCAATGCAAAAGCCGCTATGATCATTGTAATGGCATTGTCCATTGTTGCCAGGCAGCCGAGGCCATGAGATAAACGAGATCAGTGCAGTGGAAGTCAATGCAACAAAGACGGCAATCAGTGCAGAGAGTACGGACAAGTTGTGGTGGACAGGTGGACACGTGCATTTTTCACAGTGGTGGTTCTTTCAGCTGTGGGAGCCTTGAGCTTGGCACGGTGGGGATTCGAGAAGTTGAAGCAAATGAGCCGAAAGCAAACAAAGGCAGGATCAACATCACAACCGTCAGAGATTGAGCACGAGTCAGACATAGAGAAGCTTGAGACGCAGTGGATGATCATCCAGCTTGAGGCAGCTTTGGAGGAGCAGCAAGAAGAGAGAGAGAGTGAAGGAGTTGAGACTTGAGAGGAGGGAGACACGAAAGGTAGGACAGCGGGAAGAGAAGAGAACGCGAGAGGCAGGAACAAAAATGCAATGTTCGACATGGTGATTTATCCCCTCGGAGGCGACCTTCGTAAATATAGTTTCATATGCACTCTAAATGTTCAAACATATGCTCTCGAAATGTTCAAACAGATTCTTAGGAAAACAAACTTACTTGCCCCATGGCTCAGAGCATCAGTGAGCATTGAATCGGAGCATCATAGGATTTGAACTACCCTGAAACCATAAGAGGCTCACGAAGACGGTCCCCAGGAGAGAATTGACGTGCTTCACAAAACAAACTCTGACTCTAGGTATGTATCCCCTCAGGGAACACCTTTCGTGATTAGAATATCATACGCACTCTTCTCAATGTTCAAGAGGGTTTCAACTATCCTGAAATCATGAGAGGCTCACGAAAACGTTCTCCAGGAGAGAATTGAATTTAGAGAGGGGGGGGGGTCGGCATCGAAAAATCAATTCCCCGGGGGGCGAGGGGGGTCTGTATTGAGAAATCAATTGATCTTCGTGGAGAACGAGATGCCTTGAGAGAGCAGTACTGTATGTGCAACTACTGCGTGAGAAGATGCTCGCCGCAGATCCAAGTGAGAAAAATCGTGAGATCGAACAGTTGAAGAAAGAGGTTGAGCAAGTTCAGCGTGCATCAGACATGTGGCAGAAATACCATGAAGAGTTGAAGCGAAGCCAGCGACTGGGCAGTGAATAGGCTGTCCCAGGCATGTTTCAGAATGGAGCGACTTGAATGGTTGGTGACAACAAATGGGAATTGTTACCTGTTACCATCACCATCCAGGATCATTGAACCAGGTACACATAGGCGAGAACACACATCACCACTAGGCTCGAACTGCGCGCGGCGCGCGCTAAAAGGAACGTTATTTGCTTTCAACATTCCAAAAGCACTGTATGGATGTCTGCAAGCTGCAGGAAAACTCAGAAAACAGAACTCGGTCCAGCTATTTCCCACAAACTAATTTGAGAACTTGCCACCTGCGAACACAACTCACAACCAGACAAGTTGCCAATTTACTGTTGCCCCGGACTTCAACTTCCAACCAGTGCTCGGAGCACCAACCATCTCCACATGGCCTGTCGACAAGAGCTCCTGGGCCAGCGGGGGAAGCATTGGCATGTATTTGCACAATCATTGGGCAACCATGACACCCGTTCGCCATTGCAAGGTCTTACAACTAATCGCAATAGCTCCTCTTGTAAGTCACGATGCTGCATGTACTTGGCCAAATTCGCCCGATACATCATCTCCACCTTGCAGCATCCAAAGGAATAAGAATTGTTTGCCAACAAAAACATCTCTAATCAAACCCTGCACCTTCACAGCGTCCCAGTCTTTCCGGACGCTTTTGTAGCGCTGTCCTTCGTTCCAAACGTCCATCCCATGCTTTGAATCTTTGTCCTTCAAACGCCAAGGGAAGAGATTTTTTTGTCCTTGTGACCATGGCTGCTATAGCCGTGGTCAGCGGTGGCAACAAACAAACTGAGTCTATTCTGCTGCCATGGTTCACCTTCTTTCTTTTTTATTGACCGCAGTTTTTCCTCAGCGGGGCCACATGTGGGGCCACATGCGGTACTTTATGACGGTCAGCGCATGGAAGGGAGCGCACTCAAGTGCAATCGGAACTTGTTGCATCTGCTGCCCGGCATCTTGGATCGATCGGTCATTGAACTTCATTGCTTGGTAGCATTGCTCCACTGATTCCCATTCACGGCCATCGAACATGAACTTCCTCACCTGGACGCTGCGCTGGTTTTCATTGGTTTACTTGCCCCAAAAACGAATGAAAACAATAAACAATGTCAATATGTTCAAGACGTATCAACCTGGAAATTGTCTGTGCAAGGCGGTGCTCGCGTATGAGGCTTGCCAGGCTCTGCGATTCGGCAGGGGCCGCCCATGAGCTCCACCCCGGCTAATATTGAATATGGCGGAGAAAGTTTCGTTGTTGTTGGTAGCATTGGAAATTATAATTTGCAATGTTTGCACGCTTTGAATTGCCAAACATGGTGTTTCCACATCCTCATGTCGAAAGTGTTCCGTTTAAGGCTGAGAGCACTCTGTATAGCAGAAAGCCCTTGGCCGATCGCTAAGCACCCCATGGTTCAAAAAGGTTCACGTCTGGTTGGCAAAGGTTTGTTGTCCACCTGGGCAGAGCGGCATAGGGATGACCAATGACAATCGAGGAAACAAGCCATGGCATTGCTGCTCTGAGCAACGTAGTTTGGAAATGATCTGATCGAAGTACTGTAGCCCGGCGTCCGACGAACACACCACAGCTCAACCAAATGTCACCTTCATTAATTGTCTATGCCAAACCAATCTTGAGGAGGTTTAATTTAATGTTGAGAAACACCCCTATGACCACCAAAACACCCCCAAACCAGAAAGGCATGCTCAGGACATTAATCAACATTACATTGAGATAATGATTGAAAATGGTCATGTTCATCACAAAAATTTACTGTTCACAGCGTTCCCCTCTCAAAATGCCCACTGTGATATCCACAAGTTCCGCAAGTTTGGTGATATCAACATAAAGTTGACCCAAAATTCCATGCATTTTTTTCCCCTTCCGCCATGCAAATTTAGAGTTGCCTTGCTTTGGGCCTGCAAGGGGCACTCGCTTCGCATGGCTTAGTTCGAATGGCCAAACTTTAGGAGATGTTGCCATGTTGCACGTCTCAAAAGCCTTATTGGGCTGATGGCGGGTGCGCAGGGAACCCTTCGAGTCTAATGCCTGGACATCTGGTGCCTTCTTATGCGGGGCCGTGGCAACCAGCTTCGCGTTGGCCATTTTTTGACCCATGTTGCCGCACTGCTGCCGCCGCTGTGCTTGCTGCCATGCGCACCGACAGCTTTGGCGCCCGCGTGGAACGGTGCGAAGGAAGGTGCACCTTGCTTTTGTCACGGCGCTCTTCGCTTTCATGCATGAGTTCCCCGCTTCGGACCCCAAACATTCAATGTCAGGCTGAACGGCTCTGAAGGCTTGGCAGTTCCAGCTGCAACAGCAGCAGCCAGCAGCAGCACCAGCAGCAGCGGCGGCGGCAGCAACAGCAGCATGTCACCACCACCATCACCACCATCTCCTGCACAAATGTTCGCTTGCCACAAGTGCCAGTACACACCCAACAAGTGTTGGCACGGCACATGCGCCCAATTGCGCCCACACACGGGAAAACACGACTCACCGCAACAAAAACCAGCGAGCGTCCTGCAAAACCCACTCTGGAACCTGCCACCATGTCAGCATGACAACATTTCAGCACGTTAGCCTAACCCGCGTCAGCACGTCAGAATGACAACATGCCAGCATGACAGGTTGACAACATGCCGTGACAACATGTTAGCTAGTGAACGTGACAAAACAATAGCATGTCATACTGCCCCTTGGCAACCCACACCATACGACTTTGGTAACTTGACGGCATGACAACATGTCAGCCTCACGCTGAAAACGTGCTAATTAGCATGATGATCGCCCCGGGCAATGCCATTTCTTTCCTTCAGCGCCGCTGATCGGAAGACGGCAATGGTTGTTGGCGTAGGACTTCAAACCTGCAAGGCCAGCAGGGAAACAGTTTGCTCATCAAAACTGCGCACGTCTGAAACCAGACCATTGCAACAATTTTGGATCAGGGGACCTGAGGGGACATGAGGGGACATTGTCCCCTTATATAGCGAAACCCAGTTCCTGGGCTATGCCATTCGCGGCTGTGAGGCAGGCGGTTGGCAATCCAAGCCGGACGTGACTGATTACACCAGTGAGCGCCAAACAAATTGCAACGCGCGGGCGTCAAACACATCTCTGGAGCGTCAGCCCAACCCAAGGCAATGCAGGAAGATACATTGCGCGGTCTAAAAGAAACTTCCATCTGACAACACTGGTGTCAAAATTATAAATTACATTTTTGAGGGTGAGGTATAAGCATGGACCCACCCTCAAAATTGCAACTTACAATTTCCAATCTGCACTGAAAAACGGTGATAAAGATTCTGCACGGCCCGTTTTCCATGTCCATGATCGATTGTGCAATTGTAAATTCGGCTGTTTGCTACAGGCTTGTACACTTTGCCCTGCGTTTCTCGTGAGTCACACTAGCCCTCACATTTGCCGTGCGTATAGGATCGTATAGGAGAGTGACAAATTGTAACATTGCTTTTGGGGCGCTCTGAAGTGCGCACTGTGCCGCATTTTTCCTGTGGAAAATATTTCTGGCTGGGTACACTAGGGCGTGTGCTCCTTGGATGCGCTGGCCCCAACATTTATTGGAGAATCTGACCCGAGCGGAAGGGTGGGAACCATATCACAATTACAACCCTTTTTCCGACTACTGAGGCTCGTAGGAGACATGTTGAAACCAGAACATGCACTGCACGGGGTGTAGCACAGTGCACCCAGAAAACCATATTACAATTATATAGTACCCCACGTTCTGCACTGGTAAGGTTCCCCAATAGAACTTGAGGCAAGCACCGCACATGAAAAACACCCCGTGCAGTGTGTGTTTAGTGCGCCCACAAGTCCACATAACAATTAGAACACCCTTCTGCCACCCGTGAATTTCGTTAACAAATGTTTAAAGCCAGAACATAAAAGGAAAAACACGGCACAGGGTGTACCATAGTGCACCTACAAAGCCATATTATGCTGCGTCCAGGGATCAGAGGTTGAGTGGGCCGGCTGTTGGGCGGAAAGATACTGGCGTGTCTTGTGTCCCAATTCAAGCTGCAAATGCGGTTGCTTCAAATGCCCTGGCTCAGTACCCGCATGCTGAAAGGCGGTGATGACAACGTCACTGTGGCTCAACGAATGGACAAAGCTTGGGGGCGGTGAGGCAGCTTGGGCAATCATCAAAAAGAAAGCAACGCCGATAGGGGGTGGAAATTGTAATGTGCTCTGTGAGGTACCCAACTGTCTTACAATCTGGACTCCCCCCTCCCCCTTCCTTTTTCAACGTCTCAAAAAGTAGGCCAAGACCTCTTTGAGGGGGGGCTCACTCAATTCTAAAAAAGGACTACGTCGTCACATAGGCTACCTAAGCCCTAGATCTAACAATTTTCAACCCACCTAGGGTGCTAAAAACCTACTGCCGTAAAATCAAAAAATTGTAAATTGCAAATTTGACCCCCCAAAAGGGGTCAAGCACCGCAAGGGGGTAGTGATGGGTTCTTTCCAAACAACCCCAGCTCTAATTGCAACACAGGCTCTTTGGAAGCGTTCCTCGTGGGGGTCTAGGATTGTGCATGCAGAATTGTTAGTAATGACCTAAGCACGCCAGACTCCAGGAACACCACCTGAAACCCTCCATCTATGGGCCCAGAGAAGCATTTGCGCAGTGCACCCATCGGGAAGCCAGGAAGACCACCACTCAAGACCCAACAAAAAACACAAAGGAACAAAAGCACAGCAAAGCGTTTAGAGCTAATACATGCGAGTGCTATCAGAATGTTCACAGGTGGGGGATAGGTGGTCCAGGATTGTGTGTTGAGAGTGTTGCCAGTTGCTGAACAGGTTCTGACATGAAATTGCCTGAGGCTTAACAACGCGCAATGTTAAAAAAGGACCCTACCTCAGATGAGGCCCTGAGGCTTGAAAGGGCACACACACACATGTTCTTCAAAAATTAATTGAGGGAACAACATAGCAAAGTGTGTCCGCGAACGACATGTGGGCTGGTACACGGGTACGCTGGCGGTGGCTGGATGTGTTTACGCTGGTTGCGTTGTTTATGTTGTTTCTCAATTTTTTACTGTTTTTGTTTCTCTGATGAAGGTGGACCGATCTGTGCCGAAAACATCGAGAAAACGAGTGGTCAACAGGATGGCAACCACCGTGACGGGCAAGATCGAAGCCTCCCAGGAACAGCGGCCAAAACATTCAATGTCAACATCGTATTAATAAAAGAGCCGCCCCCCCTTCGAGATCCCCTTAATACGGGTGAGGACCTGATGATGGACGATGAGATGTAGACAAGGTTGAAAGGGATTGCGATGGTTGAAATGAGCACGCAGGAAACGAAAGAAGTTGAAAAAAAATGTTTTCTTTGCTAGAAGTGAGTTCGTAAAAATCCGCCCACACCGCTTGTCGGTGTCGGGCGTCCGTCGGGCGCTGCTAGGAGGGTGTTTTTTCGCGCGTGCGTGGCTATGGTTGAGCGGCAGGGCCACCGAGGAGAGCGTTTTGGAGGTACATGTTTGGATGATTTTTCGTACGTCGTGCTTGCAGGGCCACTGGAGAGAGAGCGTTTTGGCGTTGATTATTGCTCGGCTGCAGGGCCACTGGGGACAGCGTTTTGGAAGTGTATTTTTGGATTGTTTTTTTGCAATTATGGACCCCAAGGTAGACGAAGTTGGCCCCAAGATGGCTCCAACGCAGCCGTGAGACAGCCAACCTGGCGCCTAGATGGCGCCACCTGTCCCCCATTTGGCGCCAAAATAGCTCGCAGAAATTCACTTAAAATCCTGGTCCTGCTGGGGGGCAGGCCGAGCAGAATCTGACAGATACTTTCAATGCCGACATTGTCTCACCCAAGCTGATCCCAATTAGCGTCATTATGGGCACCAAGGTAGACGAAGTTTGCCCTCAAGATGGCTTCTCTATGTACAAACTGTACTATGGCGGACGAGCAGTTAGAATACGATTCTTCTATATGGAGTTAGAATATGGTTTTAAACACCGAAGGGGGGAGACCGGAGACCACATGCAGTTAGAATACCACGAGGCAACGAAACGTGTACTTGTAGACAATCTTATCAAAAACAAACATGGTGATTTTGGAGGCCTAGCTTTGTCTCTGCGAGGTATCATGGTTGTTGCCTGACAATAAAAATTGTTCCCCGGCTTTCTGAAAGGTGCATATTCTACCTGCGATGGTCATCCCCAGGGCCATCGATTTCGGAAAGTTTGGCGCATCAATTTAGGATGGAAATGATT